TTGGACTTAAAGCCTCCAAATTGTAAGAATAAACTCCTGTTTGTTAAGGCCATCCCATTTGTGGTATATTCCTGTCAGCGGCACTAGGTAACCAGTACACAGATGGACAAAAAAGTCAAGAAAAGGTTTATATATGGAAGGGTACTTTCTGTGTTGGTTACCAGGGGTGGGAAGGGATGGAAGAGGAGGGAACACTGCAAAAAAAAAAACACTGACCCATGTCACTTTAGTTTTGTGTATTTCACTGTTCATAAATTTCAATAAAATGCATTTAAAAAAAATTCTGATCTAATGATCTATTTCTGAATTATTTCCTAAATGAATGCCAGTGAATTAGTTCAGAATGAGACCATGCCCTGACTTTTCCCCAGCCATTCAAGAAGTTCAAACGTGGTTTTACCTTTTCAGTTTTTGTGAAGGACATAGCGATTGTGGTGAAGATGTCCCACTTGGTATGTCAACTAATGTTGCCAAAATAAAGTTGGCTTCCAGTAACATATCATCAATACATAAAGTCATAGGTCTACAAATGCAAAGCAAGAGCAAAAATGACACTCATTATCTGACAGCAGGAAAATGTTGAAAAATGACATTTCATTCTGGAGTTTAAAAAAATAAATAGAAGTCCTGGGTCTTTTCATAAATTAACATACTTCAAAGAGTTGGAAGGGCCTTTAGAAAGCATGAGATCCAATTTTATAAAACACTTCAACCTAATCTCATTTTAAACTTTAGTCCTGAAATAGTACATAAAATATCATTGTTTCATAGACATTTAATTTGTTTAAGCCACATCTAATTTTCTTATTAGGCAATTTATTCAGCACCATATCAAATTTATGAACGTTTCATGCTGCAGAAGAATGTATCTTTCTGTTAAGCTACCAATTTAACAAACAACACCATAGTAGCATCCTTTAAATTATTTAGCTCAAAAAGTGTTGCAGTGTTGCTAGTAAAATTACCGAATCTCTGAGGTGTGCATTATTTTCGAAACAATTAAGAGTCATTTCGTAAATATATAACAAAGGAAAATGAGCTCAGAAAAGTTTCCAAGGACCTACTTTCCAGGAATATCAAAATAAATGGATATAGGAGCATGTACAGCTTCTGAAAATGTCAGCATTCCCTGAAAGAAGAAATAAGAAAAGTATATGAAATCTTTATAAGCTACTAATAAAAACCTGAATTTAAATTTGACACAAATATCTGTGTTTACCTTCAGTTCTTTGAAGCAAAATGTTACCTCAGTTTCAACACCAATTTGAAAGAAGTCAAACTCATGTGACTCAACAGACATCTCACTGTAGACAGAATTAGTCAAATCTGTTCAATATTATAGAAAGATAAGGAAAAGATTAGTTCCATAGGTATTTGTTGCACTTAATACAAAAGTATAATCCTAAGTGTTAGGAGCTTTGGTAGCATAGTGCCTAAGGCACTTGACTGCTAACCAGAAGGCTGGCGCTTCAAACCCACCAGCCACTCCTCGGAAAGAAGGTTGGGCAATCTACTTCTGTAGCGATACTGCCTTGGCAACCCAAGGAGGGGTCGCTGTGAGTCGGGGCCGACTTGAAGGCACACAACAACAACAAGTGTTAGGTTAAAAATAGCCACAAAGTCTTTGACGTGCCTTCATTGAGAGAATCTGTGTGGGCTCTATCAACTGCCCTGACCAATGAGATGCAGTGAGGGGTTTCTGGGCCCAGGCCTGAAGAGAATGACAACCTCCACTTCCTGTCCCTTGAAACACTCATTTTTGGAACTCAGCCACCACGCTATATGAAGTCCGTTAAATGGAGAGGCCACATACGTGTGGGCAACTCTGCTTGACAGCTCAGCCGAGCTCCCCAACAACAGCCAGCATCAACTGTCAGCCATGTCAGTGTGCCATGCTGGACAATTCCAGCCTCAGCCACAATCTGACTTGAACTGCATGAAGACACTGGCCCAGCTGAGCCCCAGCCAAAGCCGCTTCGTTTAAGCCACTGTGTTCTGAAGTGCTTGGTCACAAAGCAACAACCAGCATACCATAAAAACTAATTTATTCTAATGAGAAAGAATATGTATGAATATAGTTTACATTTGCATATAATATTTATTTAATTATATCCTATCTTATTTCAAAAAGCATTAACAAAATATACAGATGTACCATACTTAATTAAAAGTGGCTTTTAATGTGAATTTTAAATTGTTTTTTACTGATACAATTCATAACTAAAACCCATTTTTAAGCTTTTTACAAGATGGAATTCAAATATACACAACATGAAATCTGCCGTTTTAACTGTTTTGAAGTGTGCAATCTTTTTTTTTTTTTAGCGTATTCAAAATGTTGTGCAGTCATCGTCACTGTCTTAATTCTAGAACATTCTCATTACCCCCAAACCATTAGTGTCATGCTAATGGTTTCCCCCAGCCCCAGCCTCAGCCATCACTAATCTTTTTCTCTCTCTGGATTTGCCTGTTGTGAACATTTCATATAAATGGAATTATACAATATGTGGCCTTTTCTCTTTGGTTTCTTTAACTTAGCATGTTTTTAAGGTTCCTATGTGATGTAGTATGTGTCAGTATCTCATTCCTTTTTATTGATGAATCTAATAATTTTATCTATCTATTAATCAGTTGATGGTCATTCTGATTGTTTCTGCTTTGTGGTTCTCAGGAATAATGTTGCCATGAACATTCATGTTAAGTTTTTGTTTGAAAATATGTTCCCACTTCCCTTGAGTTTTCATTTCTCTAGGAGTATAATTGCTGGGTCATATGGTAATTCTGCTTTTAACATCTGAGAAAGCACCATGCTGTTTCCATAGAGGCTGTTTCATTTTACATTCCCACTAGCAATTTATGAAGTAACCCTATATTAAGATAAAAACTCACTGCCATCGAGTTGATTCCGACTCATAGCGACCCCCATTGGGTTTTAGGCAGTCAGTCTTTACAGAATTAGATTGCCCAGTCTTACTTCCGTGGAGTGACTGGTGGGTTTGAACTGCCAACCTTCTGGTTAGCAGTCAAGATGCCTTAGGCACTGTGCTACCAGAGCTCCTTATATATGAAGATAGAAACTGTCATTCAATATCTTTAATAAAACCTTGTTACACGAGGATATCAGATGATAATTGTGTCTCCAGGAAGCGCCTGTGGATAGTTTGGAGCCCCTGGGTGGTGCAGATGGTCACGTGCTCAGCTACTAACCGAAGGGTGGTGCTTCAAGTCTGCTCAGAAGCACCTTGGAAGACGGCCTGGTGATCTACTTCTGAAGAAAACCAGCCATTAAAAATGCTATGAAGCACATACAAAACCCCACTGCTGTTGGACTGATTCTGACTCATAGCAACCCCACTGGCTGTAAATTTTTATGGAAGCAGACTTGCCTCATCTTTCTCCTCTGGAGCGGCTGATGGGTTCAAAGCACTGACCTTTGGTTAGCAGCCAGATGCTGGAACCACTACACCACCAGAACTCCTTCTGTGGAGCACAGTTCTACATGGGGTCGCCATGTGTCAGAACTGACTTCAGAGCAACTGGTGCTGTTAAAGGGGCCTGTTTTGGAAATGACCTTTTATTTTCAAACCTGTCAGTTAAGCACGCTTTTGTTTTAATAGCCCCATTTTCACATCCGTGTCTGTCAGCACTAGCCCATAGTGGTCATCAGTAATTTCTTCATGCCACGTAGAAACAACTGCCCCTGACTGCACTCAGACTGCCTCTGGATAGTGGGATTCCAGGTGGCTTTGTAAACTGGGGGTGGGGGCGTTCTATTTTTACTTTTGGTCATTGAACATGAATTACATAAGTAGAAAGAACAAAAGATAAATGCTGGGTTTTTGTGGATTTTTTTTAAAGGACCAAACAGTACCTTAAAATTGCACTCATCTTAAAGAAGACGGTTCATATCATTCCCGGTGTGCCTGCACAGGTTTAAGTTCAATAAAATTAAACCACTGGGGCCCCAGCCAACCGTAACTACTTATTAGAAAGCTGCTCACCAGGGACTGTGTCTCCTGGTTACGAGTTGGCCATCTTTATTCAGTGATGGCATTATAGAGAAGAAAACACTTCAGTGGCCAGGCATGTGTTTCCCAGACCAAGCACTCCTAAATGCCAATAAAGAACGCTCAGTGAGATCTGAGGGAAGGGGTAACAGCATAATGGTCAGGAGCCTGAACCCTGGTGCCACGCCATCTGCATTTAAATCATAACCCACTACTTCCTGACTGAGTGCCAGTAAGCAAGTCACTTAGTTTCTTTCTCAGTTCTTCAGTTTCTCCATATGCAGGATTGGGATAATACGGTACCTGTCCCATAAGCCATCAAATCACCATGGCAACGACTGTCCCATAGTTGTTAGGAAGAGCAAACAAACTGAAAAAGGTACTGCTTAGAACAGCACCTGGCATATCCTAAGCACTGCAAAAGTCGTCCAACCCAACTTAAGCCCCGGTTCTACTGGTTTCTCATTTTGCAGTGATACAGGCCTTCCCTTCGTATTTTTCCTTGACAGCTATCACTGAGGAGAGAAAGCTCACAGTTGCCAACAACTTGTTGGGCCAAAAAGATCCTAGCAAATTTTCTTGATTCCCCAGATTCCCGATTTAATTTTGCCTTAGTTTTTCCATTCCATCTAGAATAACTCTTGGGAGAGCTGATTATAGAGCATTCATATTTTCTGCCCTATGTATTCACCATCTGGAATAATTTTTACATTTCTAACTTGAAGTTGCTTTTTCTGACATGATCAAAATTTTTATCAATTGGATGGGTAGCCTCTTAATTTTTTGTTTCTTAATGCTAACCGACGGCACATAACAACGACAACAACAATGCTAACCACACAGGGTGGCAGAAGATGAGAAGCAGATCTTAAAATCTTAACAGAAAATATATTTTCCTTAGTGACCATTCTAATTTTTAAAAAGCCTGTATTTCAAACCCAGGTATTTTAATTGCTGATGTGTTAAATTCCCTGGATGTCTTAAATTTTTTTAATGATCTTTTTTACATCTTAGTGCTTTGTACACAGTGATGACTATCAGCCACTGATGTTTACTGTATGGTTAGTAATCAGGAAAGCCAAGAAGTAATAAGCCATCAAATCACCATGACAGCTGTCATCCTTACCCATTGATTCCTCGGTAGAACTCTTGAAGCAAACATTCAGTGGAGTAACAGCAAGAGTGACTTCCTCTTGACTTGATGTAAAAACAACAATTGCCTCAGCAAGCACTCTATAAAGCGTAAATGTATTTAATTGCAAAGCATACCAAGAGAAATAACCCTGTTAATTGGGACTCAAATCTTTAATCTGCCAGTAAAATAGGTTAGTTGGTGTGGGTGTAGAAAAATTTGCCTATCTTTCTTATACAGGAACTATTATACTTTTAGTATATTTGTAAACTGCAACCTCATTTGAAGACCCAGGGAAGAGTAAAATAAATGTTCCTTTTAAAGATACAGGAAAGCTGCAGTATGACCAAAATACCAGAATAAAACATCTTTAATTCTGTTCTTTGGGATGCCAGATAGGGATTTTAAAAAAAAAAAAAAAACTGGCCTGGGACTATAGTCCAAGAGAAGATAGCAGAGACAGAAAACAGCTCTCAGATGCAACAGTGGCGATCACCGCTGCTCAGGTTTCAGGGGAGGAGGGTTATCAGCCGTCTGCTGCCGTATTCTCTCTTCCTTGTTACTTGTCCTAGAATGTTACTTCTAAGGTTCTCTTGACATCCCCAAATGCCCTTTTAAAGAGTTTTATTGAGATATAATTGATGTGCCATAAAATTCACCAGCTTAAAGTGATGTGATTTGCACTTCCCTAAAGGAGCTCTGGTAGCATAGTGCCTAAGGCACTTGACTGCTAGCCAGAAGGCTGGCGGTTCAAACCCACCAGCCCCTCCTCTGAAGGAAGATGGGGCAATCTACTTCCGTAGTGATACTGCCTCAGAAACCCAAGGAGAGGTTGCTATGAGTCGGATCCGACTCAATGGCACATAACAACAACAACAATGACTAATGAAAGGTGCCCTGGTGGCACAGTGGTTAAGTGCTTGGCTGCTAACTGAAAGGTCGGTGGTTTGAACCCACCAGCTGCTCCATGGGAGAAAGATGCAGAAGTCTGCTTCCACAGAAATGACAGCCTTGGAAATGCTGCGAAGCAGTTCTGTTCTGTGCTATCGGGCTGCCGTTAGAAGCGACTTGAAGGCAAAAGGGTCCAGTTTAATGACAAATGACTTTGAGCATCTTTTCAGGTGCTTCTCGGCTATTTGGAGAAAGTCTATTCAAATCCTTTTGTCTTTTTTTTTTTTTTTTTTTTA